GAGAGTGTCTAAATATAATATTCTTGCTATTGCAAAATGATAAATACAAGTTTTTTTTATGATATCTAAGGTGAACAATGGTTAGAAAAATAAAAATAAATTTTTATTTATTTATTTTCAACTTATTACATTAAATGTAATATTTACAAACTATTTACTAATGCTATTTACAAATTTTGTAAAGAGCGCAAATATCAAAAGCAATTTTTATAAAAAATTTTTTTAGGTAATCATAATTCAAACTTCATAGTGGTTTTTATAACATTCATTCCTTCTTTTATTTTACTGCTTAAACGACATCTTAAGACTTTTTTTAAATATTAAAAAATTAAAAAAAAGTGGCTTATGTGAAATGGCTTAGCACATACATTAATAGTGTGCCAGTTTACACTTTAGAACAAGCTAAAACAGCCTTGTTCTAAAGTGTAAACTTGTTCTAAAACAGCCCCTTTTTTTGCAGGAAAAAAGACTTAAAAAAAGGAAAAAAGTCTCAAAGACTGTCTTAATGATAAGATAAAATTAAAAAAATGTTTTTAAGATTTATTAGAAAAAGAACATATTTAATAGTATTGCAGGCCTTGCAATAAAGCGTCGGGGGCGATGTGAATTTTACGTCGTCCAAGAGCGATTTTGCGTGTAGCTAGGGCTATTTCCGTCAAGCAAAAAATTTTTTGTTTGAGTATGTTTAAAGATATTTTTGAGCGGAATTTTAATGAAGTAATTTACGATCATTTTAACATTTAATAAAGTATTTTAAAAACCGCACGCAGTTGATATAAAAATTTGAATTACAAAAAAATTAAATATGCTCATTATTTACAAGTAGAAAAAATTCAGATAAAAAAAAAGTTTAAATTTTTTTAAGCTAACATTTTAATAAAATTATTCAGCAATAGCAAAGTTGTTGATAAAATTAAACATAAACTACTAGCGATTTTATATAATATTTTTTTATAAATAAAAAAATACTATATAAAATCGGTAGTAAAAATATTAGCTATTGCACAGTTTTTAATCGTACAATATTAAAATTTCCAGTTTATTACTCGCTGACTTTTTAAAAAGAAAAAATAATTATTTGAAAAACTTTAAATTACATATTTGAGAAAATCAAATATTAGCATATTTTATAATCTTTTTTTAAATGTTTAGTTATGTTTTTTATTCGTTTAGTAGACAAAACGTGTCAAACGTCGAGAAAATAAACCAATGTTTTTACATTTTAAAAAACGAAACATTCCAAAACAGTTTTAAATAATAACATTTCTACATTAATGATTTAAAGTAGTTTTGCAGTAATTTATTCTGCAGTTAATGTTGATAATGTCGCGCAGTTTTATTATCACAAGGCCTGGTATTGGTAATATAAAAATTACAAATATTATCTTAGTTGACATTTTCAGGTTTTTTTAAAAGTAAACTTTTTAATGGCATCACTAAAATTAACTCGTTTTGCTGAATTATTTTCAATAAATAATATGGCAAGATGATTTAAGCCATCTTGAGAGGTTGTGCTTTACCATGATTTCAATTTTTTTGCCAGTTTGCTAAATGTTCTTTCTGCTGATGATAGTTACTGGAATTGTACATAACAGTTTAATTGTGAGACAAATGTTGGTAAAAATGCCTTGAAGTTGTTTGTCATAAATTGAATTCAGAAGATGAAGCGGAGAACTTTGAATACCAAAAATTGTTTTGTGAATACCTTTTAGATAAAGTTTTTCACTAATTAAGTCTTCTGACAGATCTTTCTTGTATGCAATTACAAGTTGGCCACTTTAAAATTTAGGTATACATCCTCATATTTCTGCAAATTCAAAATGGGTGAGAATAAATCACATATTGCATAGCCTTCTTCAAATTGTGTGCTCAAATCATTTATTATAAAATTCAACACTGGGTAAACTATAGAAGTTTTAAAATCTTGATCTGGTTCAGTAAAATAGTTTCTTTTTGTAAAAAATTGAGCTTGTATTCCAATAACTTCTGCAATATCTTTTATCTTTTGAACAAAACTTTCACATGAGTAATGTATGTGAGCTATCTCCTTCATTAAATCTTGAACTTTTTTCAAAAACTTTCAACATCAAGGGATATTCGTTTGCTTTGTATAACAATGTTCTTATTGTCGATAGTTGCAAGTATTTTGTGCCAAAAACTAGTCATAGTAGACCTAATAAGTTGTGAAATATTTTTTCAAGCCATTAGCTATGTTTTGTGCTGAAGGTGTTAGTTCTAAAACATTTCTCTGGAGAAGAACATCTAACACAGCGAGTACACCAGGATAATGTTTGGTGATTAGTCAAATGGCTTGAATTCTTTTACTCCACCTTGTTTTTGAAAGACTTTGAGATATCGGTATGTGTTTTTTCAATATCCCATTGAGCAGGACTCTGAGAGAACAAGCAGTAGAAACTTTCTATGCTTCCAAAAAAAGGTTATTTTACATCAGGATTTAATTTTGTTGCGTTGACTCTTACACGGTTTAATGAATGGGCTCCACATGAAAAAAATAAGGCAGATTAGCTTTTTTGAACGTCAATATTTTTGGTTCAAAAGTATTTCTTTTCTTTTCACATTTATTTTTAAATTAAAATAATAATATCTTACTCGGATTTACTATTTTCCCACTTACTTCCACTTTTCTTTACCTCTGAGCCCCAGAGCTAAAGTATTGCCATCCCCCTGCCTTGTGGGGGCTATGATCAGGCCTTTTTTTAAAACAAAAAATGGCACACCATAATAGTAAGATAAAAGGAATTAGCGTTATAAAAACCATTTATGAAGTTTGAATGATGATTATGTAAAAAAGTTAGCATAAAAATTATGTTTGATATTCACGGTATTTACAAATGTAATAAGTTAAGAAATAACAAAGAAAATTTTATTTATATTAACCTAATCAAAAATGTTCAGCAAAAAAAAAAGAAAAAAAAAAGAAGAAGTTATATGACACGGAGAAAAAGAAACATAATTAAAAAACATTAATTTGTTATCATGCAAGCACAAGAATATTAATTTAATCAATTTTTCACAACAAACAATAACAAAAAAAAAATACAGAATTCAAAAAAATAAAAAAATAAAAAAAATAAAAATGTTATTTGCTAAAAAATAGTACACATTAAATTTCATTTTAACATGTATTTTATTTTAGTTATTAAAAACTTTAAATGACATTTTATAAAGAGTTCATTTATTTATAATTGAACAAAAAACTTCTTTTATGAATATGACTCTAATATTAATTTTTTAAATAAATTTTGAGGGAGTTTAGTTAACCTTGATATGAAGAATACTTGATAACTTTTATAAGTATAATCATATTTGATAACGAGGGTATTTAAACTCTCTAAATATATTGTATTGAAAAATTAATAATAAAATTATATCCATAGAAGTTTTTAATTTAATTATTGCAAGTATTTATGCTTTTTTAAAAAAATGACATTTTAATTAATTTACACAAATGTAGAGTAAAAAAAGAAATTAATTTATACTAAATGATAATAAAAATCTTACACTAAATTTAAGTATTTAATATCAGAAAAAAAAAAAAAAAAATTTAAACAAAATAGATATTTCAAAATATGCACATTTATAAAATAACACTTCTAAATTTGTTTTTCTTAATTAGTAAATTAAACTTGTTTTGTGGTAAAGTTAATTAATAAAGTTTAAATGAAAATTAGCAAAGTTTAAATGAAAATTAGTAAATCAGTAAGTTAATTAGTAAATTAAAACTTGTTATTGGGGTAGTTTGAAAAAAGTTGTCCTTGAATAAAAAATAAAAAAGATGACTTTATGATATCAAAATCACAACGAACTAATGTGCTAAGCTGTTTTTACTTTAAGAAAGTTTTTTCTTTTTTTGTATTTTTCTTCTTTTTTTGAAAAAACAAAGTGCACATTTTTACATTAAGAGCGCAAAAGTGATATTAGGAAGTTGTATTATTAGATATAGATTGAATATATATATATATATATATATATATATATATATATATATATATATATATATATATATATATATATATATAGCCCTCAGAATTAGGGTTAGCAATCCGCAATCCTAACTGCTTACCTTAAAATATTTAAGGTCAGTAAAAAATTGCTGACCTTGTTTCTATGTCTTACGGTGAGACTTTTGTATTGAATTTTTTTTAATGACCTGATGTTGACCTCTTAAAGATTGAGGTCGGCAGTGATTTTGTCAATGTGACTTTTTGTCAATTAAAGCAATCTTTTAAAAATAAAAAGTATTCAAAAGACACCATGCTATCAAAATATATTTTGAATTGAAAGATGAAAAAATTGATTTCATTTTGAATTGGTCCATTATTAGAACAGCACTCATGTATAACAATATTTCTAAAAAATGTATATAGTATATGTATTTGTAAATGTAAATATAATTTTTGTAAATTTAATTTTATATGTATGCAAGATATTCTTAATGTTTGCAAAAAAAATTTAAAATAATATGCAAACCAAAAATATTTATTAATTAAAAAATCGGAATTGATTTCTAAATGCAGACATAAAAGTTAGTTTCTCTTAAAAAACAATAAAAATTAACGAGCTAAAGAAAAAGAAACATCATTAAAAAAAAGTAATTAAAAAAAGCATAAGTAAACAATTTTAAAGAATTCAATTTTTATAATAGTGTCAATATATTACACAAATGTGTGAAATATTACAGTAGCCAAGACATTCACGACTTTCTGTAATTTGATTTTTGGTATAAATTAAAGTTATAATAATTTAAATTTAAATTATTTTATTATTGCTCTGTTTTTTTAAGCACATTTAGCACTCTACTTTGTAGAATACATTTATAATTTTTCAAACAAATATATGAATAATTTTAAATGTATTCTATATCTTAGTGTATTCCACAAAAAAAAGTGCTTAATGTTTTTAAAGAACAAAGTAATAATAAATTAGTAAATAACACTTATCTAATTATTTAAATAATTATATTAATGTCAAATACTAAC